TTTTTTTTTTTTTGTTGGCGGTAAATATATTTTATTTGTGCATTTATACTTGAGTGCACTTAATTGTATCTACGCATTTATTGCATACTAATGTGTATGGTGTGAGTGTGTGTGTGTGTGTGTGTTCACTCGATGTTTGACATCTTAATCTTGCTCATATTTTTCACATGAATGCCTTGCACCCTCACTTTATATAATAGGAGTATGTGCTGCGCTGTCAGTATTGACAGCTCTGATATTAAACTATCGTCTACAGTGACAACTCATTTTCATCGAAGTTCACATTGCAACCAAGAACATGGAAGGAAAATGATTTAAAAGTGATTTTTATCCTTTAATTTTGGTAGTGCAGAAGAGACAAGTAGAGTAAGAGTTAGCTTTAGTTTTAAAAATGACTCAACTCGACTTCAATGTATAACTCTGCTATATATTTTATATTATTTTTATATAAAAATTAATTAAGAGGTTTTTCGAAAAGTATTGAACTACAACAACAAAAATTCATTTTTATATTATTTTAATTGATTGTATTTTTGGTTGACCATTTAGCTGTTTTTAGTATTGCCAAATGCCCATCATCAATGATCTTGGAAATAATTCTTGTATGTAATTATTTGTAAATAATTTTTTAAGACTGCAAGTACAAGGAATCAAACTCGTGTCATGTCAGAAAAAATTAATATTAAAAATAATAGTGTATAAAAATTTTTTAAAAATAATGTATAAAACAGAGGTAGTATCTCTTAACAGCTTCTGAATAGATAGGTATCGCTTTAATGACTGCAAGCTTATTATTTTAAATATATTTGTAGGAATAGGATCTTAAGAAAGCTGTAGGAAGCTTAGAACTTGAGCTTTAGAAACAGAGCATATTCCAATATGACGCTCATCCTAATAATGAGGATTGTGAGAATGATGAGATCATTCCGCAGCTAATGAGGATTTTTAAAAAAATCGCAAATGGTTTGTTTTAAATGAAAATTTCACACTCTCTATATACTCTATCTAGATATATGGCATTCAGTTATGAGCTAACACAATTCGTAATACTATCACTAAAAAATCTTTAGAAAATTATATTAACAAAATTATAAAAATTCGCTAATTATGACCACCGTAAAGATATCTGTTAATCTACCATTGGAATCAACCAAACACCCACCCAAAGAAATACACAATATCGTGCTACGCGTTCTGTTAAATCTGTTCTGTTAAATGTTATATGCTGCTTCAAATTTGGCAGGGCACGAGCTCAATACTTAGGTCCTGTAGTCTCAAAAAATAATTTATGAATAATTAAATATATCTTGGCAATACTTAAAACACAGTTGTATGATTAGTTAAAATTTCAATTGATTAATAAATAATAAAAATTTTGTTGTTGTGATTTACTACTATGCAAAATACCTCTCTATTAAGAAACATGGTTTTTTCGTCATAATTGACTTTAAAAATAAAATTTAATAATTAAAAATGTTTTCGATATGCAAAGGAATATATAGCATTTTTGAAAATAAAAGTGAATTTCTTATTTTAGATCGATCCAGGTAAAGTCGTATCATCTCATACCTAAATAAAAAAATTGATCGAACAATAGAACAAATTTCTAAAAATTACATCTTTATGTACTTATTTTGATATAATAATACCTAATCTGGAAAATGAAATATATTAAAAATTTTCTTTTTTAGTTAATTTAAGTCTTTTTGTTGGTATTTTTGTTAATTTCGTTGTTTTTTGATTTTGAAAATAATATCTTAATTAAAATATATTAAAAGTTTTAGCTTATAAGCTATATATACAGTATTCGTATATGTATATTTTTGCAGTATTTTCTGCATCTATAATAGATTGTATTAATTTATCTATTTAATAGATTGTACCTGGCTTTTTTAGTCGACATTGAACCAGTTCACGAAGTTAATTCATTATAAATCATTGCAAAGATAAAAAACTCTTAGTTACTTAATGATTTCTACGTGCTTTATCAAAAGGGAAAATATTATATTAACGGAACAAACCATATAATTATAAACAAATGATTAATTATTTTACAAGTAAAAAAAAGTAAAGCTTGAAATATTTCAAAATTTCAATACAATTGAATTTTTAATTAATTTCTCAAAAATGTTTAACTTATGTTATTTAAATAATTTTTTTATTTTATTTATTTTATTGTTTATATTTAATTCAATTAGTATTACATTCACTGCAATTACACTTTCAATTACTTCCGCACAGTTTCGAATATTTTTTTTATTTTTTTATTATTTTTTTTTTGATGAATTTATTTATTTTTAAACTGTTTTTCACACAAAGTGACAGGTTTTTAAACAATTGATTGTTTTGTTTTAAAAATGAAACCTTTGTCTTGAATACAAATAAATTTTAAATTATTTATTTATATATTTTAATATAAATATTTATTCCATATATGAAAAATATACTGTATTCAGAATTTATTACCTGTATTTATTTATTATTATTTTAGATATTTATTATATACATTTATATACATTTTATTTTATTGTATATTTAATTCTTTTTTATTAATATATTATATATATAAAGATATCATATATTAGTATATATTATATATTTTTTTATTCATTTTTTAAGTTCTTTCTGCTTAACTATTTAGAAATATTTGAAATATAGATAGTTTGAAGTCAATTAAATTTAAGTTTAAATAAAACTAATACACATCAAAAATCCAATATTAACATTGAAAAATATATTCGAATCAAAACCATATAAATGAAAATTTTCTTTATCGTATTGAAACTAGATTAGATTTTGTCTACTAAGATCAATTATCAAATAATTGATATATTTTGTCTGACATTAAAGAAATTCCATTGGTTATCCAGGGGTTAATTATTTTCGAAATATTATTTTTATCCAATTAAACTAGATAAGTCCTATCTAAGATTAATTATCAAATAATTGATATTTTTCATCTCATATTAAAGAAATTCCATTGGTTATCCAGAGGTTATATTATATTATATTTATGGGTAATAAAAATCGCGAAAATATTTTATTTTTTAATAAAATGGACACACTTAGTCTTGATATCGGGGAGATATTTAAAAACGGGTGAAGTTAAAGGGAATATGTTCCTGATAAGAGGATGTAGTGGTAGTCCATCTGGACCTTGCTAGTCCAGATAAAGTGACTTTATTTTAAATAGCGAAAATATTTTGTCTCTTTAATAAAAGTGGCAGACTTAGTGTTGATATCGGAGACACATTTAAGAATAGGAGTAGCTAAAGGGAATATGTGTCTTCTTGCAAATGCTTTGCGTTCACAAAAATAACCCTTTCCTCTTCTTCTTTTGACCCACTGTCAAAACAGTAGTCGTCTAAAAACGCACTATATTGTATGGCCTGCCTACACATGAGACAGTGTACGGCAATTGTGTTGCACTGTGAGTGAGAGTAATTATTTAATAATAATTAAATTTGTTTGTTGTGTAGAATACAAACTATTGTATATTGTCTTCACAGAAATAGTCTTCTCTATATCCAAAAAATTTCAATAAAATTATAATCATTTTAATTTAAGTAAAATAAACAATAAAGTCATTGCATAAAAAATTTGAAAGCTTATAAAATTAATTAAAAATCTTAGAATTATTTTCAAATAATTGAAGTGAATGAAAATTGGTAGCTGTGACGAATTTTCTGAATCTTTTTTTTCAAATTATGTTAGTATCTGGGCAGAATATTCAGTAGGTGATACAAACAATGTACAGTGAAGGTCTTAATAAAACTATAAAAATCCATTGACTTTAATTATTACAACGTTTATGTTTGATAGTTATTTTGGATTGTGTTACAATGAACTCTACGGAAACCTTGAATGCAGCTTCTTTATCTTGAGATAAAGTAAGATGTTAAGTAGTATAAATAACCCCGCAATTCTTTTGAAAATTTTTAAGGTTTTATCTCATGGAACATGTTGAAGATAATTTAAAATGATAATTAACAATTGTCATAAATACAAGTAATAGAAAATAAAAGTAAAAATCATTAGAAATACATAAGCAATGATATTTTTTATTGCTTCAACCAATCGCTTAGGTTGAAATCTTTATATTATCAAAAAACCTTAGAAAAAGAATGTTTATTTATATATAGTATATAGTATAAGTAGAACACTTGACGATTGCCTCCTTAGGGGCATAGTTATAAGTACGTCGCTGGTTTGAACTTTGTTC